AAAAAGGGAGGGGGGGGGGGGGGTCTCGTGTTGCGGCTTAAAAGACTTAAAGTTCTGGTTTCAGACGTAAGCCCAGAACGGAATGTCTGTCCTTCAGGGTATGCCGGCAACAGTGAAATGGAGAACATGTATACTGTCACCTACGTAGCCTTAATCTGCTGGCGGGCCGACGGTTGGACGGCGCGCACACTGCAGGGCATTACCGGTATATGTGAAGAATATACGTATCGGCAGCGTGAGGCCGGGGCGCAAGCACAGAAGAAATGCACAAGGATGTTTAAAATTCTGGCCTCCAGCAGACTCAAATTTTGCACAGAGCGACTCCGCCCCTTCTTCCCGGCCCGATTACAGACCTCTGAACATGTCGCGGTAACGCAACGGCAACAACAACAAAAAACGAAAACTATTTATATTTACTCTTCGATCTATGCAGCCAGGTGACTCTGCAGAATCGTTATTTTGCACAAGAGGCTATGGACCAGATAAAGCCCAGACCCAGGGCAGAAATGTGACTCTGACCTCGCGTATGTTTACAAGGTATCCTCCACGGGTGCCATAGACCAAGGACATTGCACTTATTTATATTTTACACATCTTGGTAATTTATAATAAACAAAATCCTATTTTTGAAAAAAAAAACAAAAAACAAGTCCTGTGGCGTGTCAGTGTGACTGTTCATGTGTGTGGCTGCGGCCTACTTTCTTTCAGACCTACAAAGCTAATGGCTTAAAGTGTATGTAAGGCCGAAACTTCAGTTCTGTTTCCTGTTGGGGAGATTTCCCTTCACTTCCTGTCTCAGACAGCGAAAGGAGATCTCTCCAAAGGAAAGGGATGTTACCCCTTAGGCCGTTGTCACCAGAACAGGTGTTCCCATTGTAATATTTGCCCCATCCTCCTGTTGCTGTGACAACAGAGAAATGTTGGTTTTCCTATCACTTTCTGCACCAGAGTGAATGTTCACCTGGACCAATTGGGAAGTTTTAACTGTAAGGAGTTCTAACCTCCCATATTCTACCCAAAAATATATTAAAAAAAAGAAGGTTTGGGCTTTACATACATTTCAGTGTAAAATTGTGTTGCCCATAGCAACCCATCCGAGTGCAGTTGTTGTTTTTCTAGCATGAGTTACAAAGCATGTGATTAGTTGCCATGGGTTACATAAACACTTATTGGTGCATGAGGCCCTGTAATGTGTTTTTTTATTCTAATAGAGATAAAGCAGAGGTCCCACAATGCACTGCAAAATATTTATCTTAAATCTTAATGGTGGGACAAGTCTGCAGCTTCGTACAGGCACGCTGTAAATCCACCAAGCAGGGGTAGGCAAACTCTGACCCTCCGGCTGTGGTGAAAATACAAATCCCATCATGCATCTGCCTCTGGGAGTCATGTCTGTGGCTGTCAGAGTCTTGCAATGCCTCATGGGATTTGTAGTTGCACCACAACCGGAGGGCCAGAGTTTGCCTACCCCTGCTTTTCTGGGTTACAGCCTGCCAAATGTAAATGGCGGGTTTACAGCGTGTCTGTATGAAGCTGCAGACTTGTCCCACCATTAAGAAAAATTCTCATAAACTTTATGTACACAGCAAAATAGCCAGCCGTTGTGTAAAAAGTGTCTGGGTTGCCTATGGAAACCAGGCAGCATCTGCATGGTTTGTTTTTCTGAGGCCCCAATTGTAAGATGTGCTCAGAACAGTTTCGATGGCGCTAGGAGTTTCTTTTTCACTGAATGAACCCGTCATTGTCTTAAGACAGAGCTGTTCTTGTTCTAGGGGCTAACAACCAATCAGATTCTATCTTACATTGTCCCATAATAAGGAAAATCTGACTGGTTGCTATGGGCAACAAGGCCTGCTCCTTCTTCACACCTTCTGGGCCTAACAGGCCTAGATAGGAGTATTCATTAAGTAAACAAAAGCAAAGTCCAGTCAGCCTCAGTGACCAATCTGATTTTCCTCTTTAACCCATCAGACTAAAATTTGATTGGGCGCTACAAGCGTCAGCGCTCTTACACGGGCTGCAAAAGAAGCCGGGAAAATTTAAACAAAAAAAAAAGGGGTTCCATTGTTATGTTGTCACCACAAGACTGTTTTCACAAAGGGATTAAAGGGCCCGTCCCCAAATTCCTGTCAGGGAACAGATCGTCCCGTGTTCCCCATTACACCTGCGTCAGTGTCACGTAACGCACGGCGTTAACAGGAGTGTCACTAATTGCTGCCACGGGCTGGGCTGACTGGCAAATGTGTGTATTCTTCAGGGAAGTCATCCCTTCCTCTGTTAGATTTAGGAATGTGGCTCCGTGCGTCACACTTCAGATAATTATATTCCTGTTAGCGCCGCCTCTAACGCACTTCCTCGTTTCCAGGACGACTGGATCACTGAGGAAACACACAGATTCCTATCGAAGTGCCAGGAAATTTAGGAGGGGGGGGTTTGTGGTTAGGCTCTACAACACCTGTAAGAACATGTCTCGTAAAAACCAGCGGCGGTGGCGAGCCAGACACTTCCTAAACTACTTGTCTGGGAGAAAAAAGGGGGGGTGTTGAAGCGCAGTCGTTACATCTTGTAATGGCAGGCATGAAAGAGTCTCACACCCCTTCCCAACCGGGGGGGGGGGAAATGTATTAAAATGGAGCAGGCAGAATCTGGAGCAGTCGCCCATGGCAACTAAAGAGCTTCTCTCCTCACTTTGTTTACATAATGCATACTCCTTTTTGGGCCTGTTAGGAGCAGGCCTTGTTGCCCATAGCAACCAGTCAGATTTTCCTGGTTGTGGGATAAAGTAGTTTGCAGGTTCTCCCTGTGCTTGTGTGGTCCTCCGGGTACTCCGGTTTCCTCCCACACTCCAAAAGACATGCTGCAAGGTTAATTGGCTCCTCTCTAAGTATGTATGTGAGATGGGGACCTTAGATTGTAAGCTCCTAGAGGGTAGGGACTGATGTGAAGGTGCGACTATGTGAAGTGCTGCGTAAATTGTCGGTGCTCTATAAATACCTGAAATAATAATGTAAGGTAGAATCTGACTGGTTGCCAGGGGCAACAAGAACAGCTCTTTCTCATGGCTGTGACGGGATTATTCGGTAAAAGTTCACGGAGCGATACACTTAGCACCTTGGAGACGGGCCGAGCGCACCTTCCTCTCTTTCATTTTCAAACCTTAGATGAACAAAATGTAGAGAGAAGCTGATTGGTTGCCATGGGTTTTGAATTGATAAATCCCCCCCCCCACCCTTGTGAATTTAATATGTGTGCTTGTCCCCTTGCTGGACATGCTACATGCCCGCCTGTCATGCTGATCCGCTGATACATAACAGAGAGAGGTGTGGAGACCGGCGCTCCAGAATGCAAGTCAAATGCGTCTATTTATTGAGGTAAATGCAGAAAATCACATTTATTGCAACGTTTCGTGGTCTCGCGGGATCCCCTTCCTCAGGCAAGACATGTGAACCCCGTTACATGATTGGTTGCATTACGGGGGGATCTAGCTGGCAAACATCAAACACGGGTTTGTCGCGGATACTTTGACGCTTCGTAAAGAGGCGCCATAGCTTTTATCAGAGCAGCTGCGCCATTTTTGACGTTGTAGCATTTTTGCCCCTCGCAGCCTTACTCTACGAGGAATAAAGTGTTTGTTATCACAGGAGGCTGCCATGTTGATCATCAGACTTCAATCGTTTTTTAATCACTGACCTGCAGCGCCCCCTAGCGGTCGGGTTGTTAAGTCGGGGCCTACATTACAGACTGTGATTCTACCTCTCCAGCTCACTACTACTCGGGTTCCATACGGCGCGGCCACTTAAGAGCAGTATCGCGTTCTCTAATTTGCGCCATCCGATGGCACAAGCAGCGATTCCAGTTGGAGAACTCGATGAGGATTGTGAGGCCGCACAGGCGCACTTAGGGCAAGTCGACGAGGCTTGTAAAAATGCCAGTGCTGGCGCACGCGCACTAGCGCCATCTCGTTGAAATCTTCAACGCATATGACTTTACGAGTTGGAGATCTCGACGAGTTGGCCATTTTGACAGAACACCGGCCCTTGTGCTACATAGTTAATGGTAGATCTAAGGAAGATATGGATTGTATTGTGTGTGGCCGGCCATAGGCCTTGTTTTACGCAGGCGGTTGATCCGCGGTTTTTGGCATTGCGGCAGGACAGCGCTGCATACATTACCGCGGCCATGATGCTTTGCATTCAGTGCGGCACAAATGATACAGCAATGGCTGGAGGTGAATTAAACATCCTCCATTGGGAACCCGAAAAAAGTCATTCAGGAGGCGGCATAGTCGCTGCTCAACGCAATCCAGCGCGAATCAGAGGGCGTACAGCAGGGGTAGGCAACTCCGGCCCTCCAGCTGTTGTGGAACTACAAGTCCCATGAGGCATTGCAAGACTGACAGTAACAGGCATGACTAGCAGAGGCATGCTGGGATTTGTAGGGGTTGCCCACCCCCTGGCGTGGAGTCTGCCGGACCATTTAAGCTCCGCCCAGCTCCTCCTTCTCCTATATACAAAGTGGGTGAACTCTTCCCAGGAGATGGGGGACTACACACCCAGAACGGTGGTTCCGGGGGCAGGTGAGACGGGGCCCCTCAGAGTCAAGGCGCAGCTATCACCATGACAGACCGTGTGACTGCACCGGGGCCCAGAGCTGTGTACGGCACATAACAGATACATTTGGATACAAAGAATGTCTATAAAGATTAGAAACCATCAAAGCGACGACATTCTGCGTCCCCGACGGATCACCCCCCCCGGGATGGACGGGGGAGCTATGGGGCCCCGCCACAGATACGGGATCAGATTTCCACATGATATGATTTCATGTTGTAGTGTCAGTGACAGGTCCACTTTATCAGGTCCCACACGTCTGATCTATTATACAGGAGGGGGGGGCAGGGGGGGATTACAGTCACTCTATACAGGAGGGGGGCGGACGGGAACATTGCGCAATACAAATATTATAAACACTTCATGCGATCCGTGGGATTCACATGTGAGGTCACTTACGCTGCAGACCCCACCAGGACGCATTGTCCCGGCCCTCCCGAGCTACATCCTGTTCCTCCGTATTAATCATCTTTCAGGATCAACACAAGTCTTCTGTTCCTGGAAAAGCTTCGAGAACATCCCATAGTAATCTCTCTGAGCGATCGTCGCCGTGGGGACCGGCTGCGCCCAATTTTCATACTTTACTGTCAGGGAATCCTGGAGAGTTGTTACCGAATTGCACTTTCAGTTTAAGGCTCCATTCATACGGGGGGGG